TTATTAATTTTCTTTACTCTCTAAATCTGAATTAGTAAAAATGTTTACTAATTTAAATTAGTGACTCACTTTTTGCTTTAGAATTAGTTAAATTTTACTAATTATTAGTAACTTTTACTAACAATTAGTAAAATTTAACTAATCCTTAAGCAAAAAGTGAGTCACTAATTCAAATTAGTAAACATTTTTACTAATTCAGATTTAGAGAGTACTTTCTTTTTGAAAATACACACAGAAAATAATAAAATACAAAATAGAAATAGAAAATAATAAAATGTTTTTTGAATTACAAATAAAAAATACTCTCTCTAAATCTGAATTGGTAGTTTTCTACTAGTGAAAGAATGCGTATTCGTTTACCAATTGAATTAGTAACAGTTTTGACTAATTTGTAGTAAAAAACTACTAATTGCTAGTAGAAAACTACTAAATTCATGGAGTAAATCGGCTTACTAATTTGAAATAGTAAAAAATACGACTTACTCCATGAATTAGTAGTTTTATATTATAGCAATTAGTAGTTTTTTTTACCACAAATTCGTAAAAACTGTTACTAATTCAATTGATAAACGAATACGCACTCTTTCATTAGTAGAAAACTACTAATTCAAATTTAGAGAGTACACTGAGAAAAATGATTGGTTGCAATTACCATTTCGTTAGTAAGAGTATTTTTGCTAATTTATATTAGTTACTGTTACCATTTAATTAGTCAGCCTAACCATTTAGTTAGTAAGGTAACTAATTAAATAGTTATTCCAAGAAACTAATTAGTTAAATTAACTAATAAAATAGTTATGCAAACCAATAAAAATAGTAACCATAACTAATAAATTATCAGCAGTATAGTTTATTAACTAAAAATGGTAACGCCAACCAATCTTTTCTCTCAGTGTAGATGATAAAAAAAATTATTTTGGAAAAATAAAATTTAGTTTATTTCTCTAATGTTTTAGTTTTATGACAATATTTGGTATACATTGAGGGATATTTTCTTCTATTGCATCTAGTTTTATTATTTTTATAGACTTATTATATGTATGATGCGCGTTTATGGGAAAAAGTTGCTTCATTTGAAGGCAGGGTCCTTTAGATTTGATCTTTAATGATTTTGAGGGTGAATTTTTTAACGTTTAGCCTTTTATTCATGATTTGTTGGAATGAGGGAGGATAAGTTTTGCGGCATGACAGGGGAATTTTGGGAAATAAATTATAAGACTAAAGTGAGTATTAGTAGGTCGTTTTTCCTCGTCACTTATATATATTATCCAATATTTTGCGGTTCATCAGGCAAAATATATATTTCAGTTTTAAATGCGTATTAACATGTTTTTAGTGGTATTTATTTAATAATTTTTACTATAAAATAATTATTAATTATAGTAAAATTTTTTTTATAATTAAAAAAAAGGATTGAATAGTTTAAAAAAAATTATTTTAAATTTAAAAGCGTAGAAAGAAATTAAATCTTTTTTCAAATTAAAGAAATTTTTAAATAAAAAAAAAAAGGAAATAATTTCATGATATAAAAAATATTCTGTATAGAATTTTTTAAAATAGTGACGGTCATTAGTGGAAAATATAATTTTTATAATTATACAAAGGGATTATTTGATATCCGAAGTATGTCGTAAAGTTTGTGACATATGTATAAAGCTATTTGCATTTAGGATTATACACAGAATGCTGGTAGTAATTATTGTAGTCCAAACTTTAGTACTTTAAAACGGAATAATATTGTAAGTTATAATACATATGTTTATATTACAAATGAATAGATTTTTGAGCAATCTTATTTACATATATATGTAATATAAATCCATTTGCACATACGATTCGTGTTCTTTTTATTTTATTTTATTTTTATTTTTATTTTTAAAGCTTTACTCTTCACTATGTTCTTTGAATTTACTTTCTTCAAGCGAAAAAATTTCCTATAACAGGAGACTCTTTGATCACCCGATACACTTGTGAAATGTAGAGAAATCACGAAGGAAAAGTTTTCTTTTAGTAATTTTAATAATGCAGTTGAAAAATATTTTTCTGCAATTTTTTATAGAAAAAATATAAATATATATTTGTTATGGGAAAATATTCTCAATAATTAATTGTATATCTTTATATATAAAAAAAAATTGAAAAACTTATTTCCGATGAAATGGAAAAATAATTTCCTGTGAAATAAAGAAAACAATATCCTGTAAAATAAAGAAAATTATTTTTTCCTGAACAGCAAAGAAAATATTTCCAATTGTTTGTTTGTTTTTTTTTTTTTTTGAAACTATTCAAGAAAATTTTTGCAAAATTTTAAAGAAAGATTCTTATTTTAAGTATATATATGAGAATTTCAAATTTAGAAAATGAGTTTTAATTTGAGAAAATGTTACATAATTCGATAAGAAATTAAACAATTTTTATTTTTTTAATACGTATTTTTTAAAAATACTTTTTTTTTAAGAGAAAAATATTTGATATATTATTAAAAAATATAGAAAATATAGAACATATGAAAAAGCAAAGTCGTCATAAAATGGTTAAAGCGCACTTTTCGTTAAATTTTACATTGAAACATTTCTGTGTGAGCTTTCATGAAAATCATAATATAATCATAATTTTACTTTACTCTCATCAAACAGTCTTATTAAAAATTCATAAAAGTAAAAAAAGCATTATTCGATTCTGTTTTTCAATTATATTTTTTATTTTTATTTTCTTTTTCGCAAATATCCGTGAAATATTTCATAAATAAACATGTAAAAGATTATCTTATTTTATTTTGTTTACAAAAAATTATCTTATGAAATAATTAAATTTGAATTAATTTATGTTAAATTGTTTTTAATTTGTATTAAATAATTAATTAAAGTCAGTATAAGCGCGTTCATTTACTTTAAAATTTAATTTCGCTTAAAAAGTTACATTTTTAAAATTTAATTCTCGTGATGATAAAAACTAAGTTAACAATTTCCATTTACCTTTTATCATTTTTTTACGAAAAATTAAAAAAAAATTCTGAAATTAAATAAATTATTTTTCTGTGTAATAAACAAAGGCAGAGTATTAAGTACAAAAAAAATAATTAATTGAATAGGTTCCTTAAGAGATTTTATATTTTTCGGTATTAATTTTTGGCAATAGAAACTAATTCTTTGTGATACAACTAGTTTATGAATACAGCATTTAAAAAAAATATTTCTCAAATAATTTGAGCATTTTATTAAAATATTTTTTAGAATAATTTGTCCTGTCTGATAAAGCTATGAATGTCAAAAAAGATAATAAATAAAAACTAAATTTATGCTTACAAAAATCAATCTCAATTTACAAAATGAATTTTTGGTATATATAGTGATTGTCACGCGACAATTTTAAATCAAACTTATTGCTTTTGCATACTTTAGTTAATTACTTTTCAATTATTTATTGTAAAATTTAAATAATTTAAGTTTTAATTTAAGCTTACAAATTGGTAAATAAATTTGCTCTGAAAATCAACAAAATAAAAAATATTGCAACTTAAAATAAGATATTCTTTTCACAGTGAACTTTCATATACTTCGAAATTTTATTTTTAGGGAAAAAAAAAAATTTATTTCAGTTGTAAAAAAAAGTAAATTTTTTCTTAAAACTATTGACTCATGTTAAATTTGTTTATTTATTTATTTATTTACATATATATATACGGGCAATTTAGTACACATTATTTTTTCAAATTAAAACTCAAGATCTTATCTTATTTAATTTAATCTTTATTTAACCTAATTCTTATATTTCGTCTAATCTTTGTCTTGGTCTAATTCTTATATGTTGTAATAAATTTGATTGAGTCAATTTTCTAAAGGAGCATAATTTTTATATTTAAGCAAAAATAAAAAAAAAATTATTAATTAATGAATTTATTTAAATTAATCGATATTAATAAAGCATAAATTAAATTGGTAAAATATAATTTTTTTTAGGTTTGAATAAAAATTATTGCCCCTTACGAATCTTATCCTAAGAATTTTTTTTGCATTTATTTGATAGAAAAAAAAATTTATTTGAATCAATTAAAAAATTATTTGCCTCAGAATGACTTTTTATCTGTTTTAATTAAATAAAACTTTATTTATATTAGAACAAATGCACTGAGAAAAATGGTATATTTGTCTCACAGACAAATAAATATTTATTTGATTCAAAAAAATTTTTATTTTGATTTAAATAAAAAATTTTATTTATGCCAAATAAATGGCTGTGAGACAAATATATGTTTATTTAAATGAAATATATTATATATTTGGTTCAAATAAAACATTTCTCTAGGTGTAAAATTTTGTTTATAAATAAAATTTTTATTTAAACCAAATATCATTTATTTTGACCAAATAAGATTATTATTTGACGTATAAATAAAATTTGTATTTAATCCAAATTAAAATTAATTTGAAACAAAAACAAAAAAAAAAAAATTTATTTGAAACAAATATGTATTTGCCTCTAAGATGAATATTTCTTTTCTCTTTAATGTAAATTAAGTAAATAATTTACGAAGAAAATAAAAATCAAACAATTGGAAAAAATTAATTAATTTTGTCGAATAGTAAATTTTAATTTCAATGGTTTAATATAATTAGATTTTAATTCTATTTTATAATAATGAATTACCGTCTAGTTAATATTTCGTGTGGGGAAAAAAGAAGACTGAGGGAAATTCTTTAAATTCTTGGGAGTAGATTTATATAATTTAGAAGTTTAGCCTTGAAATTAAGTTTCACGTAGATAAGAAGGTCAAGTGCAAATTAGGTTGTTATTTTGTGAGGGGGTTTGCTTGCTTAGTGACATGATGTAATAAAATAGTGAGCGAGAGAGAATGAGAGAGAGAGAGCCCGAAATTCTATGGACCAGGAGAATCTTCAGCACTGGAAGCTGTGAGAGCAACTCCCCCACTATTTCCACCCTCATCCCCTCTCTTTCTATCTCGCTCTAATGTTTTCCACCCCTTCATGCAGCGCAAAGGGCTGAACCGGTCAGTGTATTTTCACGACGGAATCAGCGTCGAGCTCAAACCCGTTTAACGTACCGTCCAAACGTTTATGACGTTTTCAAAATTACAGTTTACGCTCGGTAAGTGCGCGGCGCGACGATGTTGTTACACGCAAGTCGAGCGAATACTGATTCTCGCAATTAATTGCAGTATGATGCGTTTTGTAATTATCCGCTTCTGAACTGTGTTTAATCACTTTCCAGTGATCCATTTATTTACAGTTTCAACTTCGCGTTGTTATCAACCCCGTTAGAGAGAGAGAGAGAGAGAGAAAAAAAAATAAATAAAAAAAAAAAAGTTTTCTCTTGTGACTTTTTCTCTTCGTCTTGTATTTTTTTTTCTTCTTTTTTTTATACCAACTGTGCCAGGTGATTAAAGAGTTCTTTTTTTGTCAAAGATTTTTTTTTTTTATCCCCTTTTGTGGGGAAGGGGGAGAGAAAGAAAAAGTTAGACTGTTGGGAAAAGACAACAGAAAAGAAAAACAGTGTGTAGTTTACTTGAGAAAATCGTGATACAATAATTTGAGTGGGAATAAATAAAAGGAAAAAAAAAACGGATTTACATTTGGAGAGAGGCTCTGTTTATTGCATATTATACACTCGAATTTATGAAAAGAAGGCGTATAGGATATAAAAAAAAATGTTAGAAGGTTATTTTTTCTTTTTGAAATGGTAATTTTTTTACACGAAAAGGTGTTACGAAGTGGTGCTTACAAAAGTTATGTTTTAATTCGTGAATGTTCCTTTTCGTTTTTGGGGAATCCATTTAGATGGTGAGTGCTTGTTGAATGTAAATAAGCACAAAAGGGGAGGGAACATTTTTTTTTCTTGTTTTTAAATGAGAAAATTTTTCTATATACATTTCCTCAAGATATTTTAATATGAATGTCTAATTTTCTTTCATTTTATTGAAAAGTTTGTATGTTTAGATTGCATTTCTTAGGGGACAGAGGTTTTCTAATATTTGAAAATTATTAGAATTGTTGACATTTTTTACAGTTAAATATCTTCTCTTCGTTTATGCGAATCTTTTTTTTTTTTTAATATCGTACGAATTATTTATAAAATAAGTTTTTGAATTTTTTTATATTTATTTATATTTCATTTTTTATAAAATAAATAAATATAAATATTTATAAAATAAATATAATAAATATTTATTAATTATGAACTTATTTTATATTTCGATATTATCGATACTAAAAAAAAGAATAAGGATTTATTTTGTTATTATAATTTGATGGAACCTTTTTTTTTATGAAATTTATCGCAGTTTTGTTAAAATGGGTAAAAATTACTTTCTTCTTTTACCTGCAAAAATTATTGGATGAAAAATTGTCATGAAAGGCTGGTGGAAAAAAAAAAGTATGGTCGTTATTTTACCTTCGCAACTCTGTGAAGCTGGGGAGTGTAACCTAACACTGTTTATAACTGGGTTGTCAGATTTTGTCTACCCCAAAAAAACATTGAGTTAAACCCATTTTTTATATTGTTTACTACTATGTTCAGGTGAAAATATGTGTTTTTTTTTTTTGCTTGTCCTTTTTACGTTAAGATTTTAAAAATGAACATTTTCATTTGGAAAATATTTTTATCTGTTATAGAAAAAAAAATGTTATCTTAAAAATTATTTAATTACTTTTTGTATAAATCTGAATTAGTTAAAATCATTTAGTAATTTTAATAATTAAATATTTTTAGTAATTTATTTAAAGAGTTTTATTGACTTTATTTTATTTATTTGTTTTAGTAAATAATTGTTTATTACTGTGAATTTAAAATGTTTTTTTTTTATTCTTATTTTTATTATTCCAATTGTTTTATGAATGTTATTATTTTGTTAATTTGTTTTTTATTTATGATTTGTTAACTTTTTTTTATTTAAAATTTTTTTTATTTCTTGAATTTTAATTTACCAAAATGGAAATATTTTTTTTGTCGACATAAATATTTTCAAAAATTATTTCAGTGGAATGTAAAATAAAAACGTAAATTAAAGACATAAAAAACATTATAAAAAATCATGATGGACATGTTGCAGAGGGGATTTAAAAAAAAAACAAGCGATTATGGTTGTTTAAATAATTTACTATTTTGGCATAAAAACTGTTTTATATTACTTTCTGCAAATATTGCTACGCAGTACTTGTTTCTTGAAAGGTTTACATCGTAAAAACCATATATGTAAAGTATTTTTTTTTTATTTTTTTTTTTTAATTTAAAAGGTTCTTTTTTTTGGGTCAAGTGCGCATGCTTGTAAAATTCGTTATTTCCGTCAAAATAAATGGTTATTTTCATCCAAAAAATCAGTTTTGAAAGTCATTTTAAATTTATAATTGAGCAATTAAAACAAACACAGGCTTTTAAGCAATTTGTAAATGCCCAGTGTAATGTTAAAAGAGCGTTATGGAGAGTTGATTCATATATATGTATAGGAATTGTTATGTGAGTTGTAAATGCTTTAAAAACAGGGTTTTAATATAAAAAAAAGTGCTTGAAACAAAAAATTAATGGGTATTAATAACGGTTTTCATAAATCAAAAACTCCCTTAGATTAGATATATATGTACATCGATACATATATAGAGTATATTAAAGTGCTGATAAAGGTTCGTGGAAATTAAAAACTAAAAAGCATTGATAGAGTATTTTTTCTGCTACATTTTTTTTTTTTTTTTTGTGATAAGTTTAGAAACTTTAGTAATTTGAATTTAACTATGAAGCTAACCAATAAACTTCCCTACTCCATCGACTCAGATGTGATTATCTTAACGCATAAAGTCTATTAAAGTTGTTAACACGCTGCTAATATCTCCACGGTTAATGAATATACATAATTATTATTTAACCTTAATTTTTGAGATTAATAATTTTGAAAAATTTTTAATATATTTTTTTTTTATTTAATAAAAACAATAATAATTGTTTTTACAATATTATATTACAATTGTTAATGAATGACGTCAAAAAAAAGAGAATTTAATTTCGAAAATATTATTCTCAATTTTCTCTTAATTAAGCAAAAAAAAAATTTTTCATTTGTAAGTAAATTTAACAGAACGTCAAGTTCATATTTTTCATTTTTAAAAATTTTTTCTCATTTTTATTTTTGTTATCTGAGTAAATTATACAATACACACACACAATGCATCATAGCAATTATAAACAAGAATAAATTAAATTTTTTCTCTTGAAAATTTTTTTTAATCAATTCTTTTAACTCCTATTGTTTTGGTTCGTCATATATACATACCATGGTTCGCCTTTAGGGGGAAAATTTCTTTTCCACGTAAACATTTTTTTAATTAAATTATCATCTCTAAACAAAAATTTTTTTATGTTGAAAATTTTGCAAATCATATTTCACGATAGAAATGGCTTTTTTAATGCCTTTATTGAAATAATTGGAACAATATGTATAGCTTATATTGTGTTGAGTTTTTAATTCTCATTTCAAACTTGTTTCTATTTTTAGAATTGTAATTATAATTACAAAATTTTGTATTTTTTCTCTTTCTTTCTTTTTTCTTTTTTTTTTTTTTTTGATGCAGTTTTATCGTTTTGGGCAAACCTCAACGAGATTTGGATAATATTTTCACGGATTTCCTGTGTCGTGTGTGGTTTTCTTCGAAACAGGAAATTTTATTGCAAAACTGAGATCAATATTATCGATAGGGAGGAAGCTTTGTTTTTTATGACTTCACTTTTTCGTACATCAATTCACTGAGCACCTCATTAAACTCACTCTCTCGACGTTCAGATTTTTGAGAAACGAGTGGTTTACTGTCGCATGCAATGTACTTTTCAACTGTGTCAGATTTTCTTTTCACTATATGTGGAATTCTTTTAAAAGAATCGCTCAAAAATTTCCATATTCTATCTGTATACTAAAAATTGTGTAAAAAAATTCAAAAAGAAAAAAAAACAAAATGTTTTTCATTCATGAAAATTATTCATGATCTTTAGAAAAAAAGTAGTTTTATTTTTGAGGGGAAAAAAAAATTGAAATATAGAAATTATTTCTTTTTTTTTTTTTTTTTTGGAAAAATACCTCATGTAAATGGAAATTTTTTTAAAATGAAAAATTCTTTGTGGTTTATGTGAGATAGAAAAAGATTGAAGACAGTTTTTTTTTTGGAATAGGTTAGTGTATAAATTAGTAGTGAATTTTTGCTTCATCATCAAATGTTAAAAAATTGTACATATAATTAATTCTTGTCGGATATAAAAGATAGACTTGAAATTTAACGTCAGTTTCAATCCCAGAACTAGAGCAGCACTTTTACATGAATCGTTTTACATTCACTGATGGGATCAAAGAAGACTTGGGACTTCGTTAATTTTATCTCTTGAGGCACGATAATCATAACCTGTAAGATGTAAATTCTTTCACACTCTTGACTTAAAGTTACCCTTGTCCCATGGGATTTGCCACCCCTTTAATGAACTGATCAAATTAAATGAAATCAATAATTTAACCAGGATTTTTTGAAAAAAACATTGCCTTCTAAACTGCTTACCGAAAATTTTCCAGCATTATTTTTATTATTTTTTTATATTTGCTATTATTAATTATTATAAATTTATACACAAAAAAAATGGTGGAAAATTTTTTTAATATCAAAAATGTAAAATTAAAATTTATTACAAATTTGAGATATTTATTTAATTCTTCTTCGAGATAATAAAAAAAGTCAATTTTTTTCATGAAAAAAAAAAAGGTTTTGAAACTAATGAACACTTGCTGAGTGAGCTTTACTTTTTAAGTATGTAATTACTTTGTACAAAGTTATATTTTTCATGGGTGAAAAAACAAACTTGTCTGTATTAATTTTTTTTAAAAGCGATTTTTTAATAAATGATACTGTAATGGGGAAAATTTTTTACAATTTTTCATGAAAAATATTTTTGAATTATCAAAGCTGTCAATAAAAATTTCAATTATTATTATTATTTTTATAACATTTTAATAAAAAATTTTTTTCTCTCTAAATCTGAATTAGTAAAAAAAGTTTACTAATTTGAATTAGTGACTCACTTTTTGCTTCTCAATTAGTTAAATTTTATTAATTATTAGTAACTTTTACTAACAATTAGTAAAATTTTACTAATTCTAAAGCAAAAAGTGAGTCACTAATTCAATTTAGTAAACTTTTTTACTAATTCAGATTTAAAGAGTTTATCGAGAAATAAAATTTAAAAAAAAGAAATTTTTTAGTTTCTGACATTAAATTTCAGAAACAATAGAAATTGAATTTTCCATTATATATTTAGAAATGAAGGATATAAAAAATGTAATTTTTGAAAATTGAGTATAAGTGTTAAAATAACTTTCAGTAATTACGGCAATTAATTTTGAATTATATAAT